GTCCACCCTCTCAGCTGATATTGAATCTGCTCCTTCTTCATCCTCAGTATCATAAAACTTAAAGTAAAATCAGGTAAGAACAGGAACAATGAAATACTTACATAATTAATATGATGACTTATCACCAGATAAATGCAGTAAAAAAGTGTTTGACATAACTAACAACTGATCAGGATAACTTAGATTCATGTGATTCATTCATATCTTATGATAGAATATCAATGAATTTAAATGACCTAAAATGTTTAATTCAATTCAGAATCCAAAAATGCTGAATATTTGTCTTCTCATTTCCTCAAATTAAAGAAGTCTTTTAGTCATTTAGTCATTTGATAATTCAGTTTTAGAAATACCTCTGAAACATGTTGTTAATGTTTCCAACTGGGAAATGTGTGTGAAGTAGCCTCATGATCATAGCAATGGTGTAATTAAACTATAAAGTGTGTAATCTTACATTAAACTACATTGATCTCATAATGCTACTTAGCTAGTCTAGCACAGAGCTGTGACCTCTGACCTCTGTTCTAAAAAATGTAGTCAGTAACTTAATCCAAGTATCTAAGCAACAGTAATGGATTACAATTACCTTTTTTTCTCTGACATTCACACGTTCTGTTTAATTAATGATCGCTTTTAAAATTGAGTTTGTTGGCATCTTTAATTTGACTTAATGTGGTTACTTTATAAAATAAAGTTCCTGTGTTTAAATGTTTGCCTTGTCCCTTTGTCTTATGTCTTCCTTAGCCAGGTCATGACAAATGGGGGCTCGTCTGAAAGGTTATTTTGAGGGTTGTTTCGGTGCTGCTGTTAGTGGCGTTGGTGTTTGTGGTTGAGCAAGCTGATAGGTGATTTGGTCCAGCTGTGTTCTTTTTATAGGCTCTGTGTTTTGTTTGCCAGAGCAGCGTTAGTTTAGCTCATTGTGTTTTGCTGCAGGAAGCATTTGGTTCTGACCTTGGCCTCAAGTGGGGTTAGTCACAGAGAAACTAATGCATGTTTTTATCTCGAGTAGGCTAGATTACTGTAATGCATTCCTTTCTGGTCTACCCAAACAAGTTAAAAATCGGCTGCAGCTTATTCAGAACTCTGCAGCCAAATCTGCACTAACTAGAAACTCTGCATATTCTCTGACAACTTTTGATTTATATTATTTTATATATATGTTTTACTGCAATACTTTAATACCACTTGGCAATCAATAAAGACCTCCCATATCTTATCAAAGCACACTCTCCTCCCTCCCTTCACCACCTGTTTTATTGACGTCTGAAGTGTCACCATTTAACTGAAATCATTTAAATCAGCTAAAAGCAGCTTTGAATGAAATTTAATATTTTTTTTACCACCAGACAGCTCATATTGAAAGTGAAATGAACTCCCTTCCTATCTCTGATACTGTTTCTGTGAAATCATGTGAGCACAGACCCTCCACCCTCTCAGCTGATATAAAGCTGCTCTCTGTTCCTTCTGTCTCCTCAGCATCAGAGAGCTTCCTGAAGCAACAGCAGGTAAGAACGGGAATGATGAAATACTTAAAATGAGGAGTTGCATGAGGAAACATGTATTTGATATAACTAATAACTGGTAATGCTACCTTACATGATCACCCACACCCAGAGCTCTATGATACTCCTTCATATTTATACAGAGACCGAACAGAAAAGGAGATTGTTGGAGAAAAGTAAAAGAGTAAAGTGAACTACCTGGCGAGTGTTGATAATGTGTGTCTGTTACTTGATTCCAGCTGTTGGTTTTTCTTTACTATGAACTATATGTTGTTTCAAGAATCCGTTAATTCTGAAAGGCTGAACATTTTATCAGCTTTAAAGAAACATATCTGTTTTTAGTGATTTAGTCCTTTGACCATATTATTATTTCTTAAATCATCCTTCAGTTTTTAGAATTTCTTCCTTCCAGACAGATAATATTTCCTTTGTAACTCTAACGTATAATGTGAATCTGTTTTCTGTTGAAAAATAATAATCTCACAGTCACACTGTGAAATACAAAAGTAATGACCATAGTTGTGATGTAATTAAACAGTGTATAATCTTACAGTAAATTAAATCAGTTTTATACAGTATGTTTATTACATTAATTGTTGTTATACCATGGTCTGGGGGAATAC